AAAATGTTGGAAAAATGAGTATGTGGCTGATTTTGGCATGAGTTTTAAGTGGAACCCATTTGGCTATTTTGGAAGATAAAAATTGATTTGTGTTCTCCTCTATGAGTACATCAAAATAATATATTTACTTGTAAAAAATGAAGTTCAGGTGAATGAGAAATTGGAGTTCAAAGTGGACCATTGAAATATGGTTTATGTTAGAAGGAAAACTAAATTTGAGTTTATCCCACATATGAAATTTATGAAAGCAAGAACCACTTGGAAGTGTGTAATCATGTGTACCATAGAGGCTCTCTCTACGTGTGTGAGTGAGATGGTACAAATCATGGACCGAAATAGGCTTCGGATCTTAAACTTGTGCGGGCACGACCTGTGTACATAAATGTCGGACCAAATTGACCAAAAATTGGCTCCTTAGGATGGCTTACGTTTTGTTAATTTTTTGCTTTCAACAAATGACTTTTGATTTCTGAAACTTCAATAGTTATTGTCATTGAGTTATGGACAAATTTAATGGGGTTAAGTCTATATAAATACTCATTTTCCACTATTCCAGACATGAATGTTGTCTGCATTATAGTTCCAAAACACACGAAATTGTCCTTTGTCTGCATACATATTTTACTGTCTGTCAAGATCTTGGTGGTGATATTGTTCAGATACTAAGCCAATTCGCCAGAGTAGAATCTGCAGTGCTTGAACTCTACAGGTTTGTTGTTGTATCCTGGAAAACAAGCGCTCAAGTTAAACCTCAAGCACAGATAGTGAGGGAGCAAATTTATTTTAAGGAAACTTAGTGTAACACAGGCCTGGGGTTAGAAGTTTTATTGTTTAATTCGTTTTTTCTTGTTTGTTACTCGTTTTTGCATATTGATATTTTGTTGTTCCCTTTAAATCTGTTATATATAATTGAATTTGTTATATTCAAAATTACATGCAAAAATGGTATGTGGAAATCCAATGTTTAAATTCTTGCAAATACGGTATCCAATGTGTAAATCCGGTATTTAATACTGAAACACTTATCTAACACAAAACACCTAAAACCATTTAGGAAATCCCATATTCCGCAGCAAAAACCATGATCAACCTCAAAACTAACGTTACCATGACAACCCCATATTCCAGTTCTCTCTTTATTCTCTTCTGCTTCTTCTTCTCATAAAAACTCACTCTTGCATCCAAATTAAGCATCGAGGAGACAGAAATAGGCCTTATGGGAGGAGCGCTCACTTTAGGTGTCAAAAAATCAGTCGATGACGTGTTGAAAGAAACCGGGCTTCTTGGAATCATTGACTTTGAGGAAGAAAGTTTAGAAAGGTGCTTCTATGATTGCATTGTGGCATCAATTCGGCATCAAGTCAAGAGTGGAATTGATGCTGGCAATGGTGTCCACCATGAGATATTGGGAGCGTTAGATTAATTTCAAATATGGGCCCCTATATATATAATAAAAATAATATTTTTTTTAAAATAAAAATCTTAAAAATTACAATAATAATAATCTAAAACTTTGAAATGTCAAAAATTATATTTCAAATGTATGAATTGCGTATAGAATATTATGGTTATATCAGTTATAAAAATTGAAGTTGAAAAAATCTTACTTTTGGTCTAAAACTTCATTTACATTTTTAGTATCTTCTGATAAACAATTTCTAATAATTTGCATCTCAGAAAATACACTTGTCATGCTTAATTTTTTTTTTTTCAAACTTATCACATCGACACTTCAAAAATTATCATTTGCAATTTACAAATTTTTTAAATCAAATAGAAACACGAGTATTTTTATGTTTTCAAAAATAGTTCCTACCTTAACTTAGGTAAAGAAAGATCTTAGTAAACTACAATTAATAAACTCTAAAAAATCCTTCAACATAATATTTTATGTCATCATTAACATTTTGATCAAAATGCTTCTTTATATTAAAATAATACATAAAATTTAGGTTCAACTTTCACTTTAGCATCACTTTTTTAAAGAGTAATCTTGTTATATTTAAATTTAGTCTCTCTTTATGTTTCAAAAAATGAAATAAGTGATTTCAAGTTACCAAATAGCACCAATAAACATATCCTCATTTTGTGACATTTTCTTATTCTATTAATGGCAGATACTAAATTGTCTCAAATAATTATGCCAAACAAGAACTCTAAATTCATAATGTCAAAAGATAAAATTTTAACATCTCTAATAGTCTTAGCATCATCACGTGTTTTCACTAAGTACTATAAAGCAATTTTTACTTTTGGCCATTGAAATCATATTGCTTTAATACTTTCAACTTGACATTTTTAACGTGTTTTTGATCGTGGCCTAGTTCTTAGATCTTTCATATTATTCTGAAAAAAAAAAATTCTTTACTTTGTAGAAGATGAAAAGTTTCTTTATTATTTATAATTATAATATATAATAAATATTTTTTAGGCCCTCACTAAAGCAAGGTCTTAGATGATCGCCTACTCCGCCTATATTCAGGGCAGTAGTGTCTGGCAATGTAGATTCACATTCACAATTTGCATTTTTTTGACAACCTGGAAAGTAAAATGATTTGTTGCTCTCCATGTTATATTTGTTGTTAAATAATTATATCCATAGGTAGAATTGGACGAATATTATATATTGAGAAAAGGTAAGACCAATGTGAAATCAACTTTTGATTTTTTAGTGACTTTTCATGAATATTCTCAACTTTTCATAAATGATTGGCATTATAGCGAGGGGTGTGAACTGAAAACTATAAATAGGCAATAATTTTCAATTACAAACACATGAAATAATGTGTCTAAACCACTTCGTTGAATGCCATTATTCCAATTCATTTTCGTATTTGAACTTTTAATGTTCTTCAAATTCTTTGAAGAAAACACAAGTGATTAACTATTTTCTTTTTTAAAGGCTTGTTTAAATCCTTCAAATCATTTGCCGGTGAATCCCTTTAAGTACTCAAAATAATTTTAGAAGGAACAAATATCGTTTGAGGATAGCAATAACGTGTTCAAGCCTAATTTAATGGAGACTCGAATATAGTACGAGATGAAAGATAAAAGCAGCAAGAGGATGAATTAATTTATAGTGGTCACATTCTCAATGCAATATCCTACACCAACACCATTTTGGATAAAAAAAAAAAATTGGGATGCATTGGGAAAAAAATACAAAGTCAAGGATGGAGGTACAAAGAAATTCTTAAAATCAAGGTATTTCAATTCCAATTTTTTTTAGAATATTTCCCTACTTCTCTAAGTGCATGAATTGCAAGTGCTTGTCATTAAATTGAAAGTGATCAAAATAGAACTTTTGAAATCCTTTCAAGTGGGAGTAATTATTGCAAAACTCCCTGAGGCTTGAAAAGGATATCAAAAGAAGATTCTTCATAGTTTTGAAAATTACTCTTTGGAATAATTTTAGAAATATCTTCGGATTGAGAAAGAATTAAGGACAAGATACAAGAATGAAATTTCTTATGAAGGCATTTCAAAAACCAATTATGAAATGAGTTCATCAAGAGTTCACTTCCCTTTTTTGACAACTATAACTGACCTTAAATTAACCGAATTGTGCAGGAAGAGAGATTAAAACCAAATTAACTTAAGTGGTTTTTCAATTCCATCCAAACTGTATAGCCAAGTGACAAAATTCCGCAATCATATTCCATGATCAGAATATCCAATAATCTTCAATTGGTCTAATTTTTCTGAATTTGATCAAGCAATCCTTAGTTACCGAATAACCTAATTGGCTACTTTCCAAATACTCATCCCAGGTTAATTAAATATCCGCCTAGCATTCAAACAATGAATGTCATATTCAGAAGTATGCAATCCTTAGTATACATTAAACTCTCTACTGTGGAAGCACGTGAAATTTTCTGTATTTTTCTTTCTTTAAGTTTATCTTTGAAGTATTAATTGAGACTAAACATGTCCCCCTTAATAATAGGGATATCACCTAGTTTACAATCTTGCATCACAAATCTCTTAAGAACATTTTCCATATAGCTCTTTTAATAATTTAAAAATAATACGAGAATGATCTCGATGTATTTGTATCATCAATACAAAAAAGGAGTCACCAAGATCTTTCATTTCAAAATTCCAAGTCTATACCATTGCAGGCAAGCAATATACCATCGAAATACAATACCAGAAAACTATGCTTACTCCCATTGAACTTGTGATATACACAATTATCAACTGAATTAATCTCAAAACCAAATAAGATAATTATTTGATGAAATTTGTAATATCATTGACAGGAAGTTTGCTTAAACCCATATATGAATTTTTTTTAATTTGTAAACTATCGTACGTAGCTTATGATCAAAATGTGTCACAAATGTCATAATAATACTAAAAGAGTCTTTCATGAAAACTAGATAGAAAGTCTCTTTAATATCATTGTCTTCATTTTAAGTAAAGTCAATTGCAACAAAACAAGCCTTATATTTCTCCACATCACTCTTTCAATTCCTTTTGATTTTAAATATTCATTTACAATCAATGGGTTTCACACCTTTAGGCAATGTGGTGAATTCCCAAACGTCATTGTCCTTCATGGATTTTATCTTTTTATTCATGCAATCAATATATTCTTGAGAATTATTCATTTGCATAGCTTAATGAAAGTAGATTGATCAGATCTTCTTCCATCAATCCATGCCATTTTCTTAGAAAAACTATAAAGCCATCCGAAATTGTCTTTCTCCTTTCTATAGTAGATTTTCTTAATTGCATTTGTTCTTGAGGTTGTTGAGTTTATTTTTCTAAAAGAATCTCTTGATCATATATGGGAGATTTTGTAATATTGTCTTGATCCAACATTGCTTCTTGAACAAGATCTGGAGCAAGAATTTGTCCCTGAACCAAATCATTATTGTCTTGATCCGAAATTGTTTCTTGAAAAAGATCTAAAACAAGAATTTGTCCATGATCCTGATCATTCTCAATTGCAACATAGGAATATATATATATATTCTACTTCAAAAACAAAACCCTTATGCAGAAGGGTCTATCACTTGTAATTCTGAACAAGTCGCTACAGTGACTTTCAAAGGTAAATCAGACAACTGCCTGCAACGTGTTTTGAACATAAATTTCAAGTTAGTTTATTGTTTTAAACTCTTCTATGAACATAACTTGAAAACAAATCTGCTGAACCAGACACTTACATGCAGCCTGCTAAACAAAGCTCTTTGATCCTACAACCATGTACAGATACAATTACACTGATAAACTTATCGCGAACAGTTTGGATTCCACCTAGTGATAGAACTTCAAGATTCTCTAGCTTTAGCAATGCTGGTAGAATAAGTATAGCATCTATTTCTAGACAATCATCTATATATAATTCCCCCAGAACTGATCTCTGCAAGTTTGCCTAACCACAAATGCCATCAGAGGTAAGCAAGGAACACTGGACGAGATTAATGGATGTGATAGATGAGGCAGAAGAAACAAGTGCACTAAGCCCGGAATCTGAAAGACGGTATGCACCCTTCAAAGATACTGTAGTCAGAACAGGAAGACTATTAAGTGAACGAGCCAAGGTAGCAGAGATAGCATAGTCAGGCACACAACATCCACATTGAAAGAGAAGCCATTGAACAAAGGATATGTTTTGACAATAGTAAATCAGCCTGACAGTTTCCACTAAAGACATCGGAAACCAAACTTATACAGCCGAATAAGTAATATCCACAAAAATAAATCAAAAACTTCTACATTCTAATTAGGTTTAGAGCTCTAGATGAAGTGTCCACTGCATTAAATTATTAAATACACAAATAAAGACTAATGCTATTTGTGAAGTCTAAACAATAAGAGAAATTTTTTCCCGAAACAGAATAAATAATTAGATATGTAAAAATGAAACATGAGCAAAAATAATCTTACCATTAAGTTGCTGGTATTGGTATTTTAAAATGTCCTAGCGAATAGTTTCTCAACAACCATGAGCAGTCCCTCAGGTTTATCTCTGATGAAAGCATTTGAAGAAAATGATTATTCATCTTCCTGGTATCACAAAGCAACTGACACAGCTTGTGTCTCAACACATTGGGGATGCAGTCAAGTGAAGTGATAGTGGTGCGGAAGCGTTTAGAAATTCTTGTAATCAGAATTATATTAGAATAATCTTGTTTTCTATTGATATATGATTGATTGATTAAAAAGTGTACAATACTCCTATATTTGTAGGCAAAATTATCCATAATCCTATTAATAAAAGGAAACTAAAATAAGAAAACTAAATTATAAAAGGAAATAAACTAGTCCTAATCTAAACAAGATTTAATAATAAACCTATTACAACTAAAAAAAGAAATTAGAAAAGATAATTTAAAAAAGACAAACTCCTAAATAAAGTGGAACTATTAATTGTAGTTGTGATGTACTACATCAATCTCCTTCACTTGAATAAAACTCGCCCTCGAGTTTTGTAGATGTAAAGAAAACTCATCTGGAGGAAAGTATTCAAAAATATCAGCAACATTGAAAGTATTAGAAATGTTCATATCAGCAGGAAGGTCAACTTTGTAAGCATTATCACAAATCTTTTGAAGAATGCGAAAAGAACCAATCTTCTTATCTTTAAGCTTATTGTAAGTGCCAACAGGAAAACAATTTTTGCGGAGATGGATCATCACCAAATCACCTTCGTTGAACAGCTTAAGGCGTCGATATTGATCTGCAGCAGTCTTGTAACGAATATTAGTATCTTCTAAATTTTGTTTTATTTCGTGATGAATTCTTTGAATACGTTCAGCAAACTCTTCTGCATTAGAATTGACATTCGAAAGTCGAATCAAATCTACTGTATGTCTTGGAACACTAGTGTAAACGACTTCAAATAGAGTCTTCTTGGTAGATCGATTAAGCATACTATTAAAAGCAAATTCAATCTGTGGAAGGGCAACATCCCATTGCTTTAGTTTATCTCCATTGACTGCTCGAATCATATTGTCAAAAGTTCGATTAGCCACCTCTGTTTGTCCATCCGTTTGTGGATGACTCGCTCTACTAAACTTTAAAGAAGTGTCAAATATTCTCCACAATGTCCTCCAAAAGTGGCTTAAAAACATGACATCTCTATCAGAAGTTATAAAACGAGGAATGCCGTGTACGCGAACGATCTCACGAAAAAATAAATTAGCCACGTAAGAAGCATCTGCAGTTTTCTTACAAGGAAGGAAGTGAGCCATTTTCGAAAATCGATCAATTACAACCAAAACAGAATCAACTCCTCGTTGAGTTCGTGGAAGACCGAGAACAAAATCCATAGTGAGATCTTGCCATATTGTTTCTGGAACAGGCAATGGGGTATAGAGTCCAGTATTTTGAGCTTGTCCCTTAGCTTTCTGACATATTGGACAACGCTAAACAAAACGACCAATGTCTCTTTTTAGCTGGGGCCAATAAAATCTTTCTTCAACCAAGCTGATTGTCTTATCTCGACCGACATGTCCTCCTAATCCGCCTGCATGCAATTCTCGGATCAAGTGCTCACGCAAAGAAGAACGAGGAATGCATAATTGCGTTCCTTTAAATAAGAATCCTTCCTGAAGTAGGTAATCGGATATAAACTCTCTATTACTGCATCGAGTCCATATATCGCCAAAATCCTTATCAGTTGCATAAAGTTCCTTTAAGCAATCGAACCCAACTACTTCTGTACTAATGGTAGCTAAAAGAGATGCTCGTCGACTTAAAGCGTCTGCTACTTTATTCTGTTGGCCTGATTTATGCTTTATAGCAAAAGTGAATTTCTGTAAAAAGGTGATCCATCGAGCGTGCATTCGATTCATTGTTTTTTGAGAATTGATAAATTTCAAAGCTTGATGATCCGTAAATAACACAAATTCTCGTTGTATCAAGTAATGTTCCCAATGCTTTAAAGCCCGAATAACGGCATAAAATTCTAACTCATAAGTAGTCCACTTTTGCCGAGACTCACTAACCTTTTCACTGAAAAATTCGACTGGGCGACCTTCTTGAGATAATACTGCTCCAATTCCCATAACTGAAGCATCACAATCAACTTCAAATACTTTTTCGAAGTTAGGTAGTGCCAACACCGGTGTAGTGCATAACTTGGTTTTTATTGCCTCAAAACTATTTTCTTGCGCTTTACCCCACTGAAATTGACCCTTTTTCAAGCAATCGGTAATAGGTGCCATGATTGCACTGAATCCTCGAATGAAACGCCTGTAAAAAGTTGCTAGTCCATGAAAGCTTTGAACTTCTCTCACGGTTTTAGGAGCTGGCCATTCGCGTATTGCTTTCACCTTTGTTTCATCAACCTGGATACCATCTTTTCCCACCATAAAGCCAAGAAATAAAAGTTGATCAGTCATAAATATGCATTTTTTGAGATTGATATACAATTTATTATCTCGCAGGACGGAGAGAACTTCTTTAAGATGTGACAAGTGCTCATCTTCATTCTTGCTGTAGATAAGAATATCATCAAAATAAACCACCACAAATTTTCCCACAAAAGGACGAAGAACTTGGTTCATTAATCGCATGAATGTGCTTGGTGCGTTCGACAGCCCAAATGGCATCACTAACCACTCGTAGAGACCATCCTTGGTTTTGAAAGCTGTCTTCCACTCGTCGCCAGTTCGAATACGGATTTGATGATAGCCACTCCTTAAATCAAGTTTGGTGAATACCACTGCCCCTTGTAATCTGTCGAGCATATCATTAAGACGCGGGATGGGAAAGCAATACTTGATTGTTATTTTATTAATAGCACGACTGTCTATACACATTCGCCAACTGCCATCCTTCTTTGGAGTGAGTAAAGCGGGAACTGCACAAGGACTCATGCTCTCACGGATCAATCCTTTATCAAGTAACTCGTTAACCTGTCGCTGCAACTCTTCATGCTCAACTGGGCTCATTCGATAATGTGGTAAGTTAGGCAAACTAGCTCCAGGTGCCAAATCAATATGATGTTGAATGTTTCGCATAGGGGGCAACTCGCTTGGTAACTCATCAGGTGCTATATCAGCAAAATCAGCAAGTAACTTTTGAACTTTGGCAGGAATCTGTATAGTTGCTTCCAAGTGACCTTTAACTACTAATGCTAATATAGTGCTCGGCTCTTTTACTTGGTCAAAGAATTCTGGGCCTGATATGTTGGTAAAAAGTGGTTTATCTTCCTTGATAGCAGGATTATTTTCCAAAGGTTGAGATTGTGGTACTAAAACGATCTTCTTATCAAACCACCAAAATATGAAAGTGTTATCTCGCCCCTTATAAGTGGCATCAACGTCATAGTGCCATGGACGACCCAATAATATATGACAAGCATCCATATCCACCACATCGCACATGATCTCATCTTTGTAATATTTCCCAATCGACAAAGGAACCTTACAGATTTCTAGAACTTGAACTTCTGGGCCTTTTTTAATCCATGCAATCTTGTATGGAGAAGGGTGTCTCTCAGTCTTCAGATTTAGAGCTTTTACCACTGCTTTGGAAACGACGTTCTCACTACTACCGCTGTCAATGATTACGTTGCATACCTTACTACGAATAGTGCACCGAGTCCGGAAGATTTTGTGTCGTTGTGAGTTATCAGGCTTTTTGGGTGCAAGTAAAAGGCGTTGGACAATGCACGCCAACTCTTCCCCAGTATCTGCATCTGCAACATTACCACCCTCATAGTCACCGTCTTCAAAATTTTGTTCTTCATCACTTTCGCCCTCTTCTACAATGTTAATGGATCGCCTGTTTGGACAGCTATTTGAAAGATGTCCTGGTTGGTTACACCGATAGCACTTTCCAAGATTAGGACGCGCATAAGGGTCATTATTTGTTCGTTGCTGTGCTTGGTTTCTGTTTTGGATGTTAGATTGAACAGGAGCTGAAGTTCCATTTTGATTCTGTGCCGAATTCTGAATTGGCGTGGTACCCTTACTGTTATTATTATTGTTGCCTGATGTCGTTGCACCCTTTGGAGTAGAATAAGTTTCTTGAATTGGTCGTCGAAAATTGCCTTGAGTACGGGCTGTGGTCCTATTCATCTGATTTTCCACTTTCATTGCTAAATTGACTGCATCTGTCATGGTCCAAACCTCTTGAAGAGCTAGTCGATCTTGAATGACTAATTTTAGGCCTCCTATATATCGAGCAATTAATTGAGCTTCTGTTTCAGACAAATTAACTCGGGCATTTAAACGATAGAATTCCTCTGTGTACTCGTTTACTGTTCGATTGTTCTGTCGACAATTCTGATATTGCTGGTACAAAAATTGCTCATAATCTGGGGGGAGAAATCGTCTTTGCAATAACCGTTTCATCTTGGGCCAAGTTTGCACACGTTGTTTTCCTTGTCGTTGACGATTAAATTGAAGTTGTTCCCACCATGCCGAAGCTCCACCCTTTAATTTATACGCCACGAGCTTAACTTGGCTTTGTTCCGAGATATTCAAATAGTCGAAAAAATTTTCGACGGTATGGATCCAATCCAAAAAATCTTCAATATTTAATCGGCCGTCAAAACTTGGCAAGTCCATCTTCATCTTAAATTCTTGAACATTTGTACCCCGATTATTAGCCCTTGGTCGAAAATTATCTTCTTCTTCGGATGAATAATCGAAACCCCGTGGCCTTCTTTGTTGAAAGCCTCTATCCCTCGGCTGAAAATTAGGACCTCGATCAAAATTAACTCCTCGGTCAACATTGTAACCACGGTCAAAATTGTGTGGGTCAAAATTGATTCCTTCCCTGAAATTAAATCGCGTCTCTGCCTCTCGCTCAAGATTTTTCGTCGGAGCTCGCGGTCGGTCACTGAGCTCCTCGTCGCCGCCGATTGGAACCTTTCGCCGGAGGTTACCTTCATCTCGCCTGTTTCTTCGCTCGTAGAACCGTAGAGGGGCAGCCTCGCAAGGGTCGCGATTCGCGACTGGGTTCGCGCGCCAGGCAACTTGATCATGGATTTCTGGGTTCTGCTGCCGAAGTCGATTATCTGCAAGAGGCCGGAGTCCTTCCCCCACACCTGGGTCGACGTGGGGCTGGGTAATAGGGCGCGTCTCCCTTCTTGCTGGAACTCCACGATTTCTTACATTCAAATTTGCATCTTCTTCCTCATCGTCGGAATCTGAGTTGATATCTCTTTGTACATATTTCTGCCCACCCGTCTGTTCTGCCCTGGGTGCATGATGCTTCTCAATAGTCATCGCAGTTAGCATCTGCGTGATATTGCGAAGAGCTTCATCCATCCCTTCTAGTCGTTGCTCAATTTTTTCAAACCTCCGTTCGTTGTCGGTGGTTTGTTTGCTACTCGAACCGTCCTCAGCCATCAGATTGAGGTGAAGTCCTTGCTCTGATACCAATTTTGGTGCGGAAGCGTTTAGAAATTCTTGTAATAAGAATTGAAAATAAGAATTATATTGGAATAAACTTGCTTTGTATTGATATATGATTGATTGAATAAAAAGTGTACAATACCTCTATATTTATAGGCCAAATTATCCCTAATCCTATTAATAAAAGGAAATTAAAATAAGGAAACTAAATTCTAAAAGGAAATAAACTAATCCTAATCTAAATAAAATTTAAGAATAAACCTATTACAATTAGAAAAAGAAATTAGAAAAGATAATTTAAAAAAGACAAACTCCTAGATAAAGTGGAACTATTAATTGTAATTGTGATGTACTACATCAGATAGCATCAGCATTTTTCGCTAGAATGGACAAGCATAGTTGTTCCAATGAGGGAAGAAACTGCTTTTGGCTGTTACGTTGCTTATCTTTTTTGGGAACCTATGTAAGTTCCACTGCTTTACTTTTCTCAACTGAACCATGCAGCCCATTCACATTCTTATTACGATCCTCAATGATTTTCATGGCAGTCAAAAAGGGACAAGACCAGTTTTCTATTTCACTAACTGCTTCAGAGGATGAAATTTATCTTCCAACAATAACAACAGCAGCGTGGCTCTGCTCTTCCTCTTGGGCTGAAAAATGTGCAAACCGAGATACATTTTGTAAACCGTTTCTTATAACTTCTTGCATCTGTTTCTCTGACAATATTCACATCTACCAACGCCGCATTTTCTGGTAAGTGGATGGTACCTGTAAGAGCATTTTCAGTTCTGTATTCTACCCTGACCTTAAACCTCTGATCCAATGCATCTATACCTTTAGAGGAAGAATCTTTTTCTACCAATTACCCTTTCCCTTTTTCTTATTTCCGCAGTCTCGCTCTAGTCTTCACACCAGTTTCAATTCCAATCACACCTTGGTATGTGACTTATACTTTACCATCTAAACTTCTTCGTAACCTGGAGCTTGAATCATCAATTAACAGCCCTACTTCTTTGTCTACTTCCAATCTAACTGAAACAGCATTACTTGTCAGCAAAGTTTTACGAACCACTTTCCCTTTCCCTTTTCCTTTCCCTTTCCCTTTCCATTTCCCTTTCTCTCCTCTATTAAGTCTCTTCTTCTTCCAACTACTACATACATCCTCTTCCATGTTTCTCTCCGAGTCAGTCTTAAAATCGTCGCTATTCAACAAAATATCACTGTCTTTACCACAACCTGACTTAGCATCATTATCACAACTCTCAACTCCTTCTAACCCAATAGTAGGTCCTCCGAAATAGCCTTCAATTGTTCTTTTGGCTACTTTCTTTCCGGACCCAAGTTAAGGAACCCTTTTTCTTCCCCATCCTCGTTATCCGACTTCAAAAGAGATAACTCCATCTCCATGCTATACGTCATCTTCCTTTTCTCATTATTGACAGTCTGAATCCCCAAAGTTTCTCCATCACAACCAAATCCAGATTCACCCAAACCTCTGACAAACTCGACTTGATCCACTGACACCTCCATTACCTGAATTCCTCAAAAGCCAAGTTCCCATCATTGTCTGTTTAGAAAACCTACCTTCCCTCTCGGCCTCCAAAGCCCCTTTCTCCAAATCCCCTATCTCACATACACCCTCACTACGATTGTTCTCAAGTTCGGTCTTTACTTTCTTCCTTTTCTTACTCGTAATCTCAGTATTTTCCAGGTCATCACCTGTACCCAGCTTTGCTGACAATCGTGCACTTCTCCGCACTGTTAAAGCTTTCGAACGCATATTAGAACCAGCCTCAGACCTCGATTCTACACCTGGATTTAGAGCCAAAGAACTAGAACTCGGGGTCATACTTATCAATGATTGATTCGAAAATTCAAGGCTGGAGTCATCGGTTCAATTACCCCATTTGCCAAAGCTTTAGGTAGCGCTCCTTTGGAATTGCCTGTTGACACCATTTCTCGGGACCTCAAAGCCGTCAATTGTATACAGCCAATGAATTAATAGAAACAAACAGTAAGGAAATAACACCCCGAAAACTCGCCGTCTATAAATACAGTTTGATTCCAATATATAAATGTAACTGATTAAACACAATGCAAGGCAAAGAGAATAAAAATTGGATATGTACCAAAATAATTACACAAATACACACACATCAATATTCACACACACACACACACACACACACAGAGCTCTGATATAACTCTTGGGAGATTTAAAAAAAAATGAGTACTTACAGCAAACCGGAATAGTCGAAGAAAGAGTGATACTCAAAAATGTGAAAAGCAGAAGAGAGTTTGTAAAGTTCCAATTGGAATTATAAGTTGTACCTTGTGCTTTGTGGATTGTGCCGCCTCGGCGGGGTTTATGGTTAGGAGTTATAGAAGCTTACTCGACACGCCTCTTAAGATCGGATGAGATATGCTACATGTACAAAGTTAATTTTGACAACACACTTTGTAATTCAACTTTTGTAACCCAACTTTGTGCAAATAGTTTTATTGAGATCGGATGGCTACGCTTTGTGCTTCCTGCCAAAATATGGTTTGGGCCTAAACCAATAAGAGCCTTGGTTTCCTGCTGGTTGGATCGGTTCGGAAAATGAAGCGAATATTAGGGTTAGTGTATAAGACAAGTGACCCTGTTGAAAAGGTGTATTAAAAGTAAGCATCCGTTTGTTTCTCATTTTTCATTTATAAAAATGAAAATATGACTGTTATTCATCACATCAAGCCATCAATTTTGAATTTCTATTTCTTGTGTGGGACTCAATAACGACTAAATTTTTCTTTCTCATTCTACAATAATGAGAACCAAACGGACCCTAATATTTGAATTTCAATTATAATGAAATTACCGTTTTAACCAACTAAAAGAGGATGCTTCGGACGAGATATTTCCTTTTTAAAAATAAAAAATGACCTAAATAATTTTTGTTGTTGTAAATAGATGTCAATAGAAGAGTATGCAATGCACTGTATAATTGCTTTTAATGCTTGATTATGAGCCTGTTTGGTAAAACTTCTCATTTTCTACAGTAAATCAATTCTCATTTTCAACCACACATTCTTCAATAAAATAATATTTTCCATCACATCAATACTTTTTTCTTCTTTTTCAANCCATCACATCAACACTTTTTTCTTCTTTTTCAACCACACATTTCCCATCATATCACTATTCAAAAATCAATTCTTCCCCCAAAAATCCCTACCAAACACACTCTATAGCTATTTTCAAATTTTCTGTATTTTTAATGTTGCTTGAAGTTGGGAAAATTATTGTCACGTCTTATTCTACATATTAAGAACATATTTTGGGTCAAACATATATTTTTTCCATACAGTTTATATGATTTATAATTATTATCTACTTATTATTCACATTTTATAGAACTTACAATTAGTTATTTCCCTATCATATACATTAAGGGTATATTTGATGTAATTATTTTAGAATGGATTTTGTCAAAAATAATGTTTTAAAGTAAAAAAAATTTATGGATCCACGTTTAAAATTATTTTATTAGGAAAATGTATGTTGAAAATGAGTTTATGATAAAATGAATTTTAAAGAATATGTACAGTACAAGAGCTAATTTGTAAGTCTTGATAAAAATTTAAAGAAAATTTCTATATTTTTAATCTATAATATATTAAATAATCACATCGAGAGAGAATAAATTTTTTTTTTTTGACGATTTTAACCAACTATAGTTCAATTATTTCAATACCTTACTTTTGTTTTTCAATATGTAATAAATATTATAAAATCATTTTCATGTATGAATTTCGTGTTATTAATTAACAAATAATTAATATTCACATTAATGTAGATTCAATGAATCTTGATTTGATGAATCTTGATCAACATGAATATAGAGTTATTATAGATGAATTTATTTCTATTCATATATTTAGGAATTTTAATGAGTGTTTAAATTCATATATTAGCAATTAATTCTTATGTACCAAATGTAGTATAAAAAGATTTCTCATTTGTAGTATTTCACCACCACAAAAAAATTTGAATCATAGAAGTTGAGTTTTACTAGTACAATTTTCTTCTCTTAAATTTATATTCTAAATTTTATTTTATTTTTAGTTCATTCGAGACTCATCAAATCCTTACAACAAATTGATATCAAATATTATTTTTACAATACTTATAAAATATATCAGAGTAACGTACAATGCACGTTTAACTCTGATTAGTATATTCTAAGTTGAAAGTTGCAATGAAAATAGAACTATATGGTACTTACATGCCATTTCTTTATTTTTATGGTATCTGAATTGAATATTGTTTAACTTCGATTTTTCAACCTTAAATCAACTAATTTAACTTTTTAAATATGTAATAAGTATTAATGTATTTTTTGAGAGAGAGAGAGAGAGAGAGAGAGAGAGAGAGAGAGAGAGAGAGAGAGAGAGAGAGAGAGAGTTGTGGATATTCACAATAAATTTATTCAACTATTACTCCATAATGTGAGGAAAAAGCATTTTTATTTTTATTTTCATGTTAAGTAGTTCTTCAATTTTTCAGTTACCAAGTCCAGTAGTGAATGACCCTATTTCACCCTACGTTGCGAGTAATGTTGCGGTCGAAGGTGAACCAAAAAGCATTCATCGTGTTCCACCCCGTTCACATTACATGTTGCGGGACTTGACCCATGATGACATGCTTGAATTCTTGGATGCGGAATACAAAGTGGGTACGAGGATGTCGATCCTCTGTTTACTCCTGAACAAGCGTTCTATGCTCCATGCGAATGATGTTCTTCCTTGTCCTGGACTTCCATCCACACCAGGTCGACGTTAAATCTTTATTATAAAATGAACCATGTTAGAAAAATTGTAATTAAATTTCATATGGTTTTGTTCCACGGCTATATTTTATTCTATATATTTTTATTTTTTTGAAGGGTGGCGTATTATATTTCGTTTTTAAACGGATTGAGGAAAGAAGAAAACTTCCTATTTTTCACTGTTTAAGAAACGTAAGTCGTGGGTAGACAACAAAATAAAATTTCAAACTTTATGATAAAATAATGCATATCAAACATCTAAATGTATAAATAATATAAATACTTAATCATTCCTATAACTCTACAATTTTCAAGAGGCAACTCCGCAAGAGGTTGAATCTTCTTATCTTCGTTTCACATAATTTACTTTAGCTATTCAATAAGGACCTTTTTGCTCGCTTAGGCCCTAGGCGGGGCACCTTGATCACGGTTTGTGCCTAAATGCATTTTTTAGAAAAGAGTCTGCCTTCCTTGTATTTATCTTAATCATAAAGAAAAAATTGACTATTTAGGTTTGGAATTCCATAGTAAAAGATCAACATATTGAGATAAAGAGTTCAAACATTTTATGTTAATTACTTTTTTTATATATTTTATTTAATGTGAGATTTATTCTTTAACATTTAAATATGAGTAGGAGTGTAAAATTGAGATAATTTTTGTAAAGTCAATGTAGGCATATGGAGTTTTTATAAATTCTCATCCTTAAAGCCATTGTGGCGCATTGCAAAAAATTAAGGAATTAGTACTATTGAATTCCGAAATTGTGTTTACCAAAACCTATGAACCCAACGTATAAGCTAGATACGCTGAATATTCTCCACTATTACAAAATTTATTTCTCAAAAAAATTGGACTCAGACATAACCTTACTATTATGTCTCATCCAATACCAGGTCAATCTTGTCGTGTACTTAACTTCAATCATGCACTTTAGTATGCTCGATGGGAAGGTATTGAATAATATTGAATAGTATTTAAAAAGAATTATTGTTCATTGCTGTATTTCATGTCCGATTATATACTAAACACTTGAAGATTAGTTTAATAGTTCCATCACTCTCTTTGTTAAAGCCAAGAACCCCTTCTGAGCTTTACGCTCGTGAGGTAATCATTTTGCTCGCGCTTTTCTCGTACCATTAATATTTATCAAAGTTAAACATCATTATATATTCTATGAGTAGAGACACAGTGAAGACATGTTTATTGTTCACCAACCCAACATTATTGGTTGAAACTATGAAGATGAATATTATATAAGGAATATTTAGCTAAATGGGATATTATAAAATCTCAATTAGTATTTAATTCTTAACATGAAAAATAAAATTCCTTAACAATCCAAGATTGGAAAAAAATAAAAAAAAGGACACGTAAACAAAAGAAATTGTTATTATCAATCAGCAGGTTATATTCCATTAACTTCACGTATTTTCAACGTATGAAATTATATTACGTATGTTTCATGTTGATTTATTCAATTTTCTAGGCTTAACAACTTTGAATCTCAGATTTTGACACTGTGTGATGTGTCAAAATACATGATATTAATTGTTTAAAGTGCTGTTAAAGTCAATGCATAAAAAATTGTCAACTCACCACATTGTCGAACTTGGTGTTAAAGTTGATGAGGAAAAATTCATTTCTCATACAAAAATAAGAAAACAACTTTCAAATTTCTAAAATCAGATATTTCACACACACACACACACACATAATTAACCTACCCCACCTCCAACAATCCTACTGATTCGGCGACCGTTCCGACGACTGCTCCGATTCCGGCGATTGTTCCAACTCCATCGAATATTTCTGCGACAACTCTGCCACATTTTTTTTTTTTTTTGTACAGTTGACACGATTTTGGACCTCTTGATTGTTGCTTGTAGTAATATAAAATGTGACCGGTAAATTTGAACCGTGACTCTACAAACACATGTGACTTGTTAATATTGATTTGTGACCTATAAAAAATGCTTGTGATTTGTAAACTCGAACATGTGACAAAGATCAGTGACCTTAACGACGAATTAATTAGCCA